AGTACAAGATGGTATTTTTCATTGGTATGAAGCACCATGTTCCCCAACCCAAACCCTGCCACCGCCACCATGTTCGAACAAAGGGAAATTCTCCTTTTTCTTTTCCCCATAAGGAAGAGCACGCTAGAACATTCTCTGTCATTCCTCCATTGGTAGCATTTCCATCTCTATTTGCACGTTGCATTTCTGTTGCTTTTCTGAGTTGCTGGATGATGAACGTTGAGGTTGGTGCTTAGCTGCTTGCAAAACTTTGTTTAAAGGACCTTGGTCTAAGAATAAGAAGCACATATACACATTGCCCTCAACACCCTCCGTGGTCAAGAAAAGGACAGCACCGCTGTGGTTGGTAATCCTATAAACTAGCTTTTCCTGTGGAACCTTGTCATTTTAATAAAGCATCGTCAGCTGCTTTCACCTACTCCACTGGGGTGGGACCCAGCTCAATTATCATAGAGTGAATCCTGTCCACGCAGGAGACGATCCATTTTCCAACTGAGTACTGACCTTTTTTGATAACTGGCTTTTACATGCAGACAACCTCAAGAGAGAGTTCATTGTATTCTTTTTTAGAGGGAGATGATGGATTTAAAAAGAGCCTTTTTAAAGATCCATGAAAACCTACATCTATAATGTATTTTCTACGTGTGCCTTTGGAACATATTCTGGGTATGCAGAGATAAAATCTATATTTTAGAACCAAATACCAGCAGACAAATCATGATAGGTGAGTGGCATATAGAAGCTCTCCAGGTAACTTTCTTTGGGGGTAATGTGGAAGAATCAGCATAGTTACTTTCAAAGTTGTACTTCTTAAGATTTTGAAAAGAGGAACTGAGAAAGCAATCAGTATTCTCAAATATTTGACAATCCTGCCATGGATTACTATTTTTAAAATGATTATCAGGTTTTCTAAACACCGTATAGGACAAATAACTTCTTTAAAAGAGGAAATTACCAATGGATTGACCAGCTTAAAAAACAGGACAGGTACAGCCACGTGTTTGAAATGCCATTGTATATTACTTGAAAGATAGACTAGAAAATTCTGTTTTCCCAGACTTTTGTGAGTTTGTCCTTAAACCTTGAATACGATCAGAGGAGGTGTGGCTATGCCCAATCCCAAAAAGGGGGGGGGTCAGGCGTCGAGTTTGCCTGGTTGATCATAGACCACGTTCCCGCAGGTTATGTACCTGTGACAAGGGGCTGGTCAGGAGACGCGGCAGTCTGGGCGATGCTGCAGAGGAGGGAAGAATTAATATATTTTACATTAAAAAGAGAAGGTAAGCAAATTTCTCAGCGGGGTGATAAATTGAATCCACAAATACAGCTATGCTGATTTGAAGTTCCATAATTGTTTGTGCCATGAGAATGTGTATACGTAAAAAGATTTTTAAAAGCAATTACCAGAAATGCCTCCCTTGAGAGCAGTATTCATGATGGCATCTCCAATCCACGGGGGTGACATAAACTCAGCCCTCCTGATACAGATTAATGGTGGCGGGTGGGGGGTGGGACACAGCAGGGGCAGGAAATCCTTTGGAAGAGGTGAAGGATTTGAGAGTTATTAAATGGAAATATAACTGTATACCTTTAAAAATGCGGGGCAATTTCTAGAAATAGACAAAATAATTTTTTAAAAAATCCAAAGCTTCCAGACTTTTGGAGTGTAACTGATCTTTTTCTAATCTCTTTAACCTTCTTTCCACGTTATTGCCTTAATATCCAGGTGCTTTCTCAAAAGATCCCCCCAAATTATTTACCTAGAGCCTGTCGCTGAAAGAAATTACTTCTTGTCAATTTGTCACAGATTAAAAAAAAAAAACATGATAAAACTACCTAGGCATTAATGAGTTCACTGAGTAGCAGTGTAGGTGGGTCACAATTTCCTCTCCATGTCTCCTGGGGCTGTGCCTTCAAAGCCAGTAACCAGCTGCATGATTTGGACAGGCTTGCTAAGGCTAGAGTGATGAGCGGGCTCGTTTTATCTTACATAGGAAACACGTTTGTTTTTGTAAAATGGACTACTTCGCTGAAAATTGGTTACATGTAGTTCTAATAACTGTAACCTTAAACACTGACTTAAAGGCCCAGCTCTTCACGCTTGCCAGAGGGTGGACTTACAGGGACACCACTTTGTACAGATAGTTGTCACAGCACTCTGGTTCAGAGTCAAAAGAGAATTTTAATTCCTCATCAAGCTGCCAAATTCTACTGATTACCCTTATCAGCATATTTCATCCATTGCCGAATGGTAAATGAGCTACGTACTTTTGTTTGGACCATGTCTCCTATAAATTTTCAAGAGTTGTTTCTCTTGCAAGGGGAGAAAGGGGCACAACTCAAATGAGCAAACTTGAACTTCAGAGTTTGGACCTTTCCCTTCCAGAGAATTGCTGACAGATTTCTAGACCAGGCTGCTTGGTATTTATTGATTTATTGGTCCTACTGTTAAATACACCCATCAGCCTTCCTCTCTTAGGTCCTAAGAGTAGACACAAAGCCTGCTGAAGTAGCCTCTCTGGAAACAGAAATCGGCGACCCTAACCTTGATCATTCCCTGAGTCTGTGTGTTGCACATGTAATGTTGCTGGTCACCACATCTTTGGGCTACATGAGTGAAACCAGCAGGTCGTCACCCAGCAACCTGTAGCCGACCCAGGGCTGTCCCTTCCTCTACCTGCAAAGAACATGGGTTGTCCTGAAGTTCGCTCCCAGTGCCCCACTTTCTCAATCCCGTCTGTGATGTGGTTCAGTGTGGATTCTTCTAGATGGCTGTATTCTTTGAAACGTGCCCTGCGTTCGTGGCAGGATGGACCTCTTCTGGAGCCCTGGTCTGTGTTCTCCTATAGAAATGTCCCCAGGAGGAATTCACCAGGGCAATAGCTTTTGACTTTCGGAGGGTGGAAATGGTTGTACCTGAGGGTGTACACGCACGTTTTCTCCCCCACAGTGGGGTGGTTGGTGTTTCATCTGCTCCTGGATGCTGTCCAGGGCCTAACTGGTACTGTTCCCCCACTCCCCACACCTCCTGCAAGCCAGCCTTCTAACTGCTTTTTTATTCTTGACTCCAACTCTCACTGATGAAGTGAGTGCTTTTTCTGTTCCACGTCACTGCAAAATCGAGGCCCCGCATGTGCTCACTTAATAACCACCTCACCTGACCTCATGCACAGCGTGAGAGCTGAAGGTAAGCCCCAAATTTTGCCAGATTACGGTGGACAAATAAAAAGTGATTCTGATACAGTGACTCACAATGCATGAAATGTTTTGATCTCTAGACAGACTGCCAGAATTTCTCTTTTCTAATTTCCTATTTGTAGTGATGACATTTGCCTTTTTGTGATTTCTTTTTTAAAGAAGAGAATAGTGTAGTACCTTGAAACATTTGCAGTTCTAATTGTTGTCACTATTTCTATTTGACAAGTTCCGATTCTTTCCAAGTTATTGTATTCGGTTGTGCACTAGTGTCAATAAAATTGACATTTGTGAAGCAATTTCTGGCCTTTTTCTCCGGGTTTCGCTGGGTCTGGTGGTGTGTGGGGTGAATGGGTCTTTGTCGAACACCAGGACTTCGTTTCAATGATGTGTGTTTAAAATGCAAGGATTTCAATGGAGGGATTTTTAAAACACAAACTTCTTGAATCTGTCTCTTCCTCATGTTTTCTAATCTCATTCTTCAAGGACCATTGTCCTGACCCATAATCAGTAGCAGGATGTCTGCTTTTTGCTGTTATTTCCGGGTGTGGTGGCTTTTCACGCACGTGTTAGTGACTCAGCTAGCTGGTCCAGCAGGGCCGGGGTGGGGGCTGGTGGTGTTTCATGGCTGGTTCATTCATACTGTGATCAAGTTCACGACCCTCCATTCAAGGCCATCCCATCTTGTAATTTCAAAGTGGATATGAACGAATTCAGAGGGAGAGGATAGATGTCAAGAAAACGGGGTGTGGCCCCAGAAAATCGCACTTCACCTTCCTCTCCAAGATGCTTGTCGAATTTGCAGAATAGCCATGAGCTGAAACCGCCTATCGGAAAATGAGAAAGCACTTCCATCGTCTTTCCTTCCTCATGCTGGTAACAGACGAGCCTGCAGGCTACTTTAAGTTTGTTTACCGCAGTGCGGTCCTAGCAAACCTGCATTCGAATTACAAATGTGTTAGGTGCAAACGCTTAAGTAGAAGTATATTTTGAAACATCCCACTTAGTTCCACGGGTTGAGGCTTGGATATTTGCAAAATTCTCTTGGCAAAGAGTTTCATGCACACATCATGTCCTTTGGCTGACTCATAATGGGTAATTCTACATTTTCGTATGATTTAATATCTCCTTTTCAGAGGAGTCATTAATTGCCTGTCACTTTTTGACTCTTAAAGGGGAACTGTGATAATGTAATGACCTCCAGCTTTGCATTTGTAAATGATCACCTTTGCATGTAAATGTGATGCTAGTGTTTCTGTCCCAAACAGTGAGAGAGACATGGAAGGCCCGCCACCAGGTATAATAAGCTTGCTTCTGTTCTTTGTAGAATGGGGAGTTAGCTGCTTGTGTCCTTTACTTAGCCGTGGTTGTTATAAGGTGTAGTCTGTCCTGGGTGCATCAGCCATTTAGTTTCCTTTTAGTATAGCTCTGTTTTCTAGTCCTTTCTCACGTCTCCTGGTGGTATAGACACTGTCTTTCTCGAGCAATTCTTAGAAGCTAAGGCAGAAATTAGGAGATGAAGATCGTATTTGGGGGGATACACTGTGCTCCTCAACTACTATTACTACCCCCTAAACGGAGTTCTCTGTCTTACCATTAATTGTGTGACTCTGGCTCCATTGAATCATTCATACTATGGTATCTTTAGTATTAAGGCAGCTGCAACTCACAGGAAATCTAGAAAATAGTCGAGCACGTTAGGTTCTAAAGATTTGATACGGGGGGGAGGGGATTTGTAAGTAGAAATCCGGTCCCAGAAGGAATTACTTTTCTTTTTTTCTTTAATACTTCTCATCCCCAAATAGGCTCCCTGACTGGTAGCCCTCACCTTTCAGAGCTGTCCATCAACTCGCAGGGAGGAGCCGCGCCCACCAACGTGATCCTGTCTCCCAACCTGAGCCCTGACACCAAGCAGGCCTCTCCCTTGGTCAGCCCGCTGCTGAACGACCAGGTGTGCCCACGCACCGACGACGAGGAGGAAGGCCGGAGAAAGGTGTGGGGACCTGCATGCATGCGCGCGTTACTTTTTTCTTTTTTAACTGCAGTAGTAAACATAACATTTGCCATTTTAACCATTTTTAAGCATGCTGCTCAGTGATGCTAAGTACATTCACAGTGTTGTCTAACCGTCATCATCGTCCATTTCCAGAACTTTTTCGTTGTTCCAGACTGAAACCGCCCCCATTAAACACTAAATCTCCCTCCCCCTTCCCCAGCCCCTGGCAACCTCCTTTCTACTTTCTGCATCTATGGATTTGACCGCTTAGGTACCTCATACGGGAGGAATCATACAATATTTGTCCTTTTGTGTCCGGCTTCTTTCACTTGGCGAAATGTCGTCAGGATTCATCCATGTTGTAGCGCGTGTCCGTTTCCTTTTTAAGGTAGAACGAAACCCCACCGTATGGGTTGAGGACATTGTGTTCACGTACCTCTGGTGATGGATGGTTGGGTTGTTTACCCAAATCCCATTTCTGGAAACATGGGCGCACAAGGGTCCGTTCGAGTCTCCACGTTCAATGTTGTCATGTGTGTCCCCAAAGGTGGCGTCAGGTGGACTCTTGTGGAAGCAAGCGAGATCGCTAGCGACAAGGGATTGCCTCTCACTTACTGTTGAAAGAGAAAGCAAAACCCCTAACTGGCCCACTGTCGAGAGGTGCCTGCTCACCTAAGTGACAGACTCCGGAGAATCGAGTCCCAATGGTGTCTGTCACCAGCTGCTTTCACTTTGTCCCCTCAGATTGGCCACCCTACATATTCCCACAAACACTGTAGCTTCTGTTTCCTGAACACCCAACACCACCAGCTCCCAGCACCCAGGGCAAAGGCCGCTGTGGTTTCTGTTGCTTTTAGTTCCTGGAAGACTGCATTGCTCTGATATTTTACTAGTTGATTAGATTTTCCGATGCCCAATTTTGAATGAATTGTTCTCCGCGGTGGCTACATGCTCACTGGAGGCCTTCTACTGAGGGTAATGTTTATGTGGAAGGAAACCTCCATTTTCTTCTGCTAGTTCCTCGCACAAAAAGGGGGACAAATAAGAGTTGATTTAGTCTGTAGCCCAGTTAATAAAACATCATGAATTAGTAATGTATCGCTTTTGCAGAGATTCCCGACTGACAAGGCATACTTCATCGCTAAGGAAGTCTCCACCACCGAGAGAACTTATCTGAAGGATCTTGAGGTCATCACTTCGGTATGTGTAGCGTTTCCCCTAAAGCATCCAATTACACAATTTACCTCCACTCATATGCAGCTTTCAGAGAGAAGCTGGATCTAATTAAAATGTTGGGTTCTCTGACTCCAATTAAAAGGATTTGGTTTTCTGGGTGATAGAAATTAGACGGCAAGAGAATATTTAATTTGGAACATGCTCTATAAAAATTTGTATAATTGTGATTTTTAAGTGCAAAAGAAGGAAGTTTCTGAAGTGGAGAAAATGAAAGTTGAGCATTTTGCTGTGTGCGTGCACCAGGGCAGAGCAGTTTGTGTTTGGCCCGTCATCCAAGGTAGCTGCTTTTGCTTGAGGAAGACCCCAGAGGTGAATGGAAGCCTCGTTTCATCCTTGATAATAAATCGAGCCCTGTCAGCAAACCTGACAGGAGACCACCTTTAATTATTTTAATCAGTCCTGTTCAGTCTGAGAAACAAATTCAAAGCATTGTAGATGTCTTTAAGGCACCTGGATTCTGGGAAAGAACTAGACATTGGAGGTCAGTAGGAATCACTGGGCTTCTGCACCTCCGGGGCATGAATGGTGCCTGCCCGCCCCCCCAGCAGGTGCTCAGTAAACATTGTGGGATAGCCCTGCCTCGCGAGCGACTGCATGTACAGGCCGGGGCTCTCCCTCTCTCTGGTGCAGCCTCGTGGGTGCTCAGCGTTTTCACAAGGGAACAGAGATAGATGTTCCAGAAGGACTGAACCAGAGCGGGTGCAGTGGTCTAAATCCTTGGTTACCAGGGAGTTGGCCAAAGTGGAAGTTTTGATTCGAAGTAGCTGCCCACTTCGGAGATTCCTCCTGGCCTCCACGGCCGATTGGTAACAGACGGGTGCCTCTCACCCCGTGTAATTGAAGACTGGAAAAGCAGTAAGGCCCAGAAGCCCCCGCTGGTGCTGAGCACTGCCTACCGAGCAGTAAGGCCCTGGGGGCGCCAGGCACACTGGGCCGCAGCATCACCTCTGAAGGATCACCTCATTCAACTTTACACCTCTAAGTGTGTCTTCTTTTTATTCCAGTGGTTTCAGAGCACAGTCAGCAAAGAGGATGTCATGCCTGAAGCCTTGAAAAGTCTCATATTCCCGAATTTTGAACCTTTGCACAAATTTCATACAAGTTTTCTCAAGGAGACTGAACAACGACTAGCCCTGTGGTGAGTACAGCAGTAACGTTTAGCAGTTATATTTGGTGTGGGGGGGGGGGGGGAACACCTGGGTGGCTCAGTCAGTTACGTGTCCGACTCTTGGTTTTGGCTCAGGTCATGATCTCACAGTTCGTGGGATCAAGCCCCGTGTCGGGCTCTGGGCGGAGAGCTCAGAGCCTGGAGCCTGTTCCAGATTCTGCGTCTCTATCTCTCTCTGCCCCTCCTTGGCTCATGCTCTGTCTCTCTCGTTCTGTCTCCAAAATAAATAAGGATTAAAGCAATTTTTTTCAAATAAATAGAAAATACTACATTTTGTCCCCACACCCTCCTCTTTCTCTGACTCCCTAATGTTATTTTTGTGTCATGCCTTCTAAACAGCTGTCACAGCCAAAGATAAAGGCAAGAAACTGGCCTGAGATAAGCCAACCTTAAGATGATTTCCCGGTTAGGAGCACCTGGGTGGCTAAGCATCTGACTTCAGCTCAGGTCATGATCTCACCGTTTGTGAGTTCAAGCCCCTGTATCGGGCTCTGCACTGACAGCTCAGAGCCTGGAGCCTGCTTCAGATTCTGTGTCTCTCTCTGCCCCTCCCCTGCTTGTGTGCGTGCTCGCTCTCTCTCTCTCTCTCTCTCTCTCTCTCTCAAATAAATAAACTAAAAAGAAAAAAATTTCCCAGTTAAATTCTGTGTATATTTAGATCTCATCCTGGATTTCCCCCCCTTTGGTTTATAATTCTTCAAAATGCATGTTTTCTTATAATTCAGTGAATATCACAAAATAAAGATAGTAGGTACTTCTGGAAAGCCGACGAGGGTTCTAAAGAACAGGCGTACTGAGGGATTCCCAGGGGGAGTTGACGATAGGCAACTGGATATTCTTTAAAGCTCTTGCTTTATAGTCGTCTGTGAAGTATCTGTACCTCTCATGCAGTTTTCAGTATTCTGTTGCACTATGTTGAGGAAGTGCTTGGAAAAATGTAGAACCCTACGTACCACGCACACACTTGTCCTTGAATCCCGCATCTAGGAATGTACCTTAAGGATACATTTATAATGTGAAATGATGTACAACAGAGATAGCCATGTTAGAATTGAAAGATTGTAAATGATCTAAACGTCCGTGAACAGATTGGTTCAAAATAATATTAAGTCCGTTTAATACTGAATAAAACATTAACCTGGTGCAAGAAATCAGGAAACACCTCATGTGCCATAGGATGCAAAATCCAGTGTACCCTTCTGTAAAATTAGAACCTTTCCAGAAAATTATTAGGGTTGTTGTTGTTGTTTTAAGACCGTTCTATGCAGACTCTTAGGGAGTTGACCTTCTACTAAACATACATTTGAAAAACTCCAGGAGAAAATAGCAAAAACTTTCTGTGTTTTAGGCAGAGGCGGGAGGCATTGTATACTGTATCCTCACGGAAGGTGAGAATTTACTTTAAAGCGGTCTCGGGGCATTTAACGGCTCAGGGGCCTAAAGGAGCTGCCGATGAGCTGGTCTTGCCCCAGGTGATCCAGACAGTGGGTTCCAAGTGTCCGTTGAACAGGTTCACGGGGCTGCTCTCCTGCGTAGTGACATGAATGTGCTCTGGTGTCCGACTTCATGTGTGTGCTTTAGGATGATTCACATGCCGTTCTCGCCCTGCATTAGAAGGAGGTGGGAGGCATTGCCAAGATGCCCCAGGGAGGAAAGCAGAGCCAGGGTTGAGAAACCGCCTCATTGAAAATGGAGACAGGTTGGAAACCCCACTTTAGGGCCACACTGTAGGTTGGGGCTGTGAATGTAAGAGAAATGCCACTTTTCAAAATTAAAAAAGATTCCACAGGATCTAACTTCTTATTTTACCTCCCAAAGTCTACCTGGAAACATTCGGTTGCATTCTGCCATGTTCTGTTGCTTCATCATTCCTACAAAGTGAGACGATGCTTTCGTAATGGAGTCAGAGAACTTACAACTCTGGAGAAATCCACTCACAGTTTGTTTGGCCAGTGAGATGTGTGCGAATGCAGTCTTAAATCTTCCCGTAGGCTGGGGCGTCTTGAGCAGGTGTCACTGTGGCAGCTCTGGTCCATGTGGCAGGTGACCTAAATAATGTTGGGGAGGCCACACACAGGAAATGTCATCAGCTGTACCCTGGCAGCTCAGCATGGTGGCTTCAGCTGGCCCCTGCCACCAGAGAGAGCTTCAGGGAGCTGTAGAGAACATTTCATACTAGGAATAAATGCCACACTCTTTATTATCTGTGACCATAAATCTTTTGCATCTGGTCCTTCACTGTGAAAGAATATCCAGTTGCCTAAAAAGCAGCTGCTGTCATTTATTTCCCAGAGGATTTTCAGTAGATCTTTCAAAGATCTATAATTTTATCCATGTTTTACATGACGATACCAGAAGCATGTAAAAGACTCAAAGCTAGAAAGAGAGCAGACAGTCAGTATGAAGCTCAAGGACGTGACTTGACCTTGCAACAATGGACCCAAACCAAATTGATGACATTTATCAGGAATAAATGTAAAAGTCTGCTGCTAAGTTCAACTAGTCACTTCCTCAAGTGCATGATGAGGAATTGGCAGGGATTCAAGGCAAAAAGGCTGAGTGAATGAGTGTGTGAGTCAACAGAATAACACAGAGAGGACCCCGCGTCTGTATCTGTAGCTCTCAACATCAGCTGCTCAGCAGAATCACCTGGAACCTTTACAAAATCTTGATAGCCAGGCAGAACCCCAGACCAGTCATATTAGAATTTCTGAGAGGTTGGACCTAAAGCTTCCCCGATGATTCCCGTGTGTAGCCAGGGTCGAGAATGCTTGTCCTAGACTGCCTCACGAAAGCGGCCAGAGCACAAAAAATGCTCAGGGCTCCTTCAGAACACTAGGCGCAATTCTGAGTTTCACTTTTGAAATGGAATAGAGAATGCATTCCATTAAAAAAAAAAAAAGTTGTTGAAACTATGGGCATTTGTCCTAGAAGAGAGAAGATTCTAGAAAATCTGATGGCGGGGCGCCTGGGTGGCGCAGTCGGTTAAGCGTCCGACTTCAGCCAGGTCACGATCTTGCGGTCCGTGAGTTCGAGCCCCGCGTCAGGCTCTGGGCTGATGGCTCGGAGCCTGGAGCCTGTTTCCAACTCTGTGTCTCCCTCTCTCTCTGCCCCTCCCCCGTTCATGCTCTGTCTCTCTCTGTCCCAAAAATAAATAAATAAACGTTGAAAAAAAATTTAAAAAAAAAAAAGAAAATCTGATGGCTCTGTTTAGTCTGGTCATGTGAAAAGGGAGTGTCTTCTTAGTTGTATCAGAGAACAGAATCTAAACAGTGAATTTCCAAAGAGGCACATCGTGTCTAAATATAGAGAAGGATTCCCCAGCACTAACACTTGGCGATGAGAGGCTGCCTTAGGAGGTAATGAGTTCCTCCACCTTGGGGTTTCTTGAGCAGAGGTGGACTATTTCTAGAAGGCATTTATCTGTTGGAAACCCCAAACCTGGCACTGCAACACGGTCACCTGGGATTGGGGATGGGGGAGTTTTGAAAAAATAGAGATTGCTAGGCCCCATCCAGCCCTCCTGAATCAGAACACTGGGAGGAGTCCCAGACGTGTGTATTTCTAAAGTGCTTCTTGAGATGACTGTGATGAATACCTTTTCCGGAACAACTGATACGGAGCTCCTGTGACAAACCTAAGATTCTATGATTCTCTGAGTTGCATTTTGGTTATAACTCTTGTTTCTTCTACAAGCAGTGAATGCATGCACAGGTGGGTGGGGGAGCGAGCAAGCTAGCTCAAGTATAAGGCTTTGCCCGCTGGGGGCTTGTGGTCTCCGGAGCAGAAAGGCATGGAAAAGAAGGAGGGCTGGGCCCTGTCATGGATGAGTGAGCCATGTCCAGTGTGGGCATGGGGCATCACTGGCCAGTTCTGCCTTGACGTCTGGGCCATTGATGCCTGCACGGCATAGGCAGCCTGTGTGAGTGAATATATTTAAGGAAAAGAATGGAACGCAGGGAGGTTCGTTAAGAAAGGAGTTCACACCGAGTTCTGGACCGCCAGGCCAGATGGAAGTAGATGTGTATGCATGTATGTGTCTATTCAGTCTGGGGTATGGGAAACCCGGCTGGCCCGTGCCGAGGGGGATGGCTGTGTTCTGTGTCCACGCTCCCGGCCACACCACCACCGGACATCTCTGGCTGCCTCTGGCCCTTGTGGAGCTACACTGTGTCATCTGTAGTATGTGCACCTCATAGGCCTGTTACATGGACAAAATGAGACAGTATTTGTGAAGGGCTTAGCCTTCTGTCCCATTCGCAGAAGGTGGGAGAGGAGCTGATCTTTCTTTCTATTGTTTATTTTGAAATAACTTTAGATTTAGAAAAAAGTTGCCACGACAGTAGGGTTTCTGCCCTCATGTCAGCTTCTTCCATCACTGGGCACGTCTGTCAGCTAGGAAACTAACGTGGCTAAGTTACCATCAACTAAACTCCAGGCTTTATTCGGTGATACTCTTTGAATTACTACTGTTAATGGAAAGAAATCTAAAGTTTACTATGCACCTAAAATTCCCTCAAATTTGGTACTTAAATGACACGGCCACCATGGTTTTACATGAGGCAGTGCTATGCTTCCATCAGCAGTGGGAAGTCTTAAGGCAGAAAAGTTACCAGGAATTTCCCTGAATGAGGAGGCTTGAACCCCTGCTCAGTAAACACACCTGCCCGCATCCAAATGTTGCGTCCTCCTGAGTAAACCCACCTGATGAGGGGATGGGCTGTTTCAGCCTGGCCAAAGCCCAGGTGACCCTGTTTCTTCAAAAACCAGAAAACAGGTTTGGTGACTTCTGAAAACAAGAAGAAAGCCTTTCTTTTTGAAAGCCAGGATATTTTGCCCAGCTGTTCAAATGCACTCAGAGAAAGCCTCTTACAACCTTTGGCTTTCGGAGCTGTGTCCCAAATTCCAGCCCCGAAAGGCCTGGCAGGCAGAGTGAACACCAGCCGACTCGTTCCCCAGACCTGGATTCTCTAGCACGATGCACCTCGGTAGACTGTGCCCCGTGCAACATCAGCCTGCAGGGAGCTGGGGTCTGGGCAAGAGGCCTGCAGAGAGGCATGTGGGATCGGCTGTGGGCACACACAGTTCTCAAGAAGGGTCTGCTGCATTTATTAGAAGCTTGGCAGCAGATTCACTTGGAAGGGGTGCAGAAGTCTAGCCGGGAGGGGTGGGGAGACCGGAGGTTGAGATGTCGCCGAGCAGACAAGTCGGGCCCACAGGACCAAGGAAAAGGCCAGGGGGAAGCCCCGAGAACTTTGATCCTGGTTACCTGGGAGGATGCTCACAAAATTAGGAAGCCGTAAGAAGAAAGGAAGAAGCAAATATAATGGAGGGAAGCTGAGTTTGCTCTGGGTCACATCAGCTTTGAGGGGTCAGTAATGAAGTCCTTCCGGCAGTTGGAAACGCAGGTCTCAGGCTTGGGAAAGAAATCCGGTGCAGTGATGTAGATATGGGAGTTACCCACAAGAATCCTGTCCTGTAAGAAACAACAGTGAGGCAGAGGAGAGCCAGGGACAGAATCGTGCCAAATACACCTTATTGTCAACTTTCCATAAACGTGTAGCTCATGGCAGAGCAAGAGCCAGCAGAGGAAATGGAAGAAGCCACGAGGGGTGAGCAGGGGTGGAGCGTCCCCGAGGAGAGCATGTCTGAAGAGTGGCAGGACGACGTGCAGAGAAGATTGAGGCAGGGTCCCTGGGGTGTGGGGGCAGGAGCAGGCTCGGACCCTAGGGGGTTGAGAGACAGGAGGGTGTCCGTCTGGAGCAGAAAGGAAGCTCCTCTCTCAGGAGGACTGTGATCAGGGATTTCACCCGTGGAGCGGTGTTGTCCTGCCAGGATGCTCCAGGGGCTGAAGAGGAGTGGGGGGTGACCGTGTGGGTGAGACCGTGATTTGCAGCCCTCCCCCGGAGTACACCGGAGTAGCTTCACGGTGAGCAATCCTAAAACAAAAAAATGAGTAATAAATCTTTTCATCCTACCCACTCTTTGAAGCTGGTCATCCTTAAAATCATAGGAATTCCTCAAAAAATTAAATCTAGATTTCCCATGGCACCCAACAGTGTCCAATCCTAGCTGTATGCTCAGAAGAATTGAGAGAAACGGACCCAGACAGATACTTCTACACCCACGCTCATAGCATCGTTATTCACGGGAGCCAAAAGGTTTGGTTTGGAAGGAACCCCGTGCCCTCTGATGCGTGAATCATTAATGGATAAACAAAATGTGGTACATCGTACAATGGAATAATATCCTTAAAAAGGAAGGGGATGCTAGGGGTGCCTGAGTGGTTTAGTCAGGTAAGCATCTGACTCTTTGTTTCGGCTCAGGTCATGATCTTGAGGTTTGTGAGTTCAAGCCCCGTGCCGGGCTCCAAACTGACAGCACGGAGCCTGCTTGGGATCTTCTCACTCCCCCGCACTTTCTCTCTCTCTCTCTCTCTCTCTCTCCCTCACACTAAATAAACTTTAAAAAGGAAGGATATTCTGATACATGCTACAACACAGATGCACCTTAAAGACATGCTAAATGAAATAAAAACCCAAACAGTGTACAATTCCACTCATGAGCTACTTAGGGCAATCAGATTCAGAGAGAGAGAAAATAAAACGGAGGTTGCCAACGCCTGGGGTTGAGGAAACAGCTAGTGTTCGGCTGTCCAGAGTTGAGCAAGATGAAATGTGGGGATGGGGGTGCCTGGGTGGCTCAAGTCGGTTGAGCAGCCGACTTCAGCCCGTCTTGATCTCACGGTTTGTGAGTTCGAGCCCCACATCAGGCTCTGTGCTGACAGCTCAGAGCCTGGAGCTGCTTCGGATTCTGTGTCTCCCTCTCTCTCTGCTCCTCCCCCACTCATGCTCGAGCGGTGCCTTTTCGAGGTGCCTTTTCCTGGGAATGCAGACCGCACGGTGCACACATTCCGCTTTCTACCATGTTCCTCATTCTTGGAGCCTCTTTCATTTCCCATTATTGTTTCCCCATATCGCCCAGCTGCTCCGTGAGGTCGACGGGGCTCCCGATTAAAGCCATGGGAGGTGAAAACAGACTCATTACCTTTTTAAGTGACCCAGAAGGGGATGCGGTTGGCGATCATGCCAATCAGCCGGATGCCGTGGTTTTCCCCTGACGTGGAGGCCTGCGGTGGTTAAGCTCCTTGCTTCTCTGGCCTGGTTTGAATTTGGGACCGTGTTGGGAAATGCTAGAAAGGAGCCCTGAGGTTGGACAGCCTGTGTCCTGAGCTCATCACACACCTGAGTGCGTCCTGTACGCAGGGCGGGCGGGGACACTGCACCTCCCTCCACTCCCCAGAAACGTACCTCAACGACAGGCAATTTTTCCCAGCGTCCTCTCCCCTTGTGGTGGATGCAGGCCTTCGAACCTGGCATGAGCACATGTTCCATGTGGGTGTGCACACACACATCCACGTCTGCCCTCCTGTCCTCTGTGCGCGTCAGCCCCTCCACACCTCCCCCCAACCCGAAGTAGACATCTGTAGGCTGTTTCCCACGTGTACATAAGGAAGGGATCTGATTTCTATGTCATTTCCCAAGATAAGGCTGACTGCAGACCACGCCTGCAGTTATCTTATGGGGTAATAATGACTGTCCCCCAAGCGTTGTTCACAATTGCCTAATCCTTACCAGACCAGTCCCGTGGGGAGGTCTCCTGTCTTCACCGTAGGACATTTACTAGAGTCCGTGAAAACTGTTTTCCTTCTTCTAGAGCAAAATCAGCTGCCGTGCCTTTTCTTGTGGAACATTCTTGTGTGATGTATCCCACTGCCTCCCAGGGTCCCTGCAGCGACGAGTTTGGTTGTGAGCAGGAAGTCTGGGTTACAACCGTGTGTCAGGAATCCTGAGAGGCTTTACTCCAGCACAGTCCACCTGGCATCTCAGTTCCTCATGCACTTGCCTTAGCGCTTGGTCAGTCGTTTCTGTGCCACTTAGTCTAGACTGGAGCTCGGGAATGGTGTTGGCTTGGTTGAATGCCTCATTGTTTGCTTGTCAACTGCTTCATAACTGGTTAAGGCTCATTTTTATTGTGGTTTCAAATCCTTTTGTGCCTCATCTTCCGCAATGACTTTGAGATGGTTTACAGATGGAAAACAATGTAAGAAAAGGATAAAGACCTATAAAGCCGCACTGTCCAATATGGCAGCTACTAGCCACTTAAAGTAATCTCAATTTAAAATAATCAAGGGGTTCCTGGGTGGGTCAGTTGGTTAAGGGTCCCTCCGACTCTTGATTTTGGCTCAGGTTGTGGTCTCACAGTGAGTTTGAGCCCCACATTGGGCTCTGTGCTGACAGCATGGAGCCTGCTTGGGAGTCTCTCCCTCTCTCACTGCCCCCTGCCCTACTCGCACACACACTCTCTCTCTCTCTCTCTCTCAAAATAAATAAACAGATTTGAATAATCTAATAAATTAAAGATTCATTTTCTCAATAACACTGGCCACATTTCAAGGCTCATTAGCCACAAGTGGCTAGTGGCTATCATATTGGATGGCAGATATAAAACACGTCTTCGTCATCACAGGAAAAGATCTTTTGGACAATATTGGTCTAAAAATGAAGAAGAAATAGTACACATTACTATAAGAAACACAGGCCCTTGGACACAAGTTGCTGAAAATATCTATAAAACAAATGCATGAAAATGCCTTGGTTTGGTTCACGGTAAATCTCGAGTAATAAGTTCATTTAGGTCATGTCTCCAAGGGTCAAGGATTGATCTTTTGTAAAGCAGAAGGGTGTCTGGCAAATGTGGATGGACAGTGCTTTTACAAAGTCTGATTCACATGCAGAGTCGTGGCATTAATATTAATAATCAAGTACCATTAATGCGCATTTACTGTGCGTAGACTCTTGAGACACCTGGTACTGTTGTAAAGTTGGTGTTATTGATAAAAATTAAAATGACCACCAGGATTTTCCCATTCGATCTTCAAAACCAGGTTGACCAACCCTTGGCCAGATCTGGCCTGCTACCTGTTCCTGCTAATAAAGTTTTTTTTGGAACATAGCCACACGCGTTTTTGTTTTTTTTGTTTTTTTTACCCATTGTCTATGGCTGCCTTTCACAGGTGAATACTCATGACACAGACTGTGTGGCCTGAAAAGCCTATGGTATTTACTATTTGGCCCTTTATTAAAACTTGTTGATCCTTGTTGAAAAACACTTCCCTAGGTGTAGGTGTTATTCCCATTGTATGATTGGGAACATAAGGCCCAGAGAGGTGAGACCCCCAACATACAACCCATAAGTGACAGAGGTACAACTTGAACTCGAGTCTGAGCTGATCCTCAGCTTGTGGCTTTGCAGCTGTGTTGTTGAGGCACAAGGCTTTACACCTGGAAAGTGGCTGAGAGTGCATCTGCCGTGGATTCCTCATTCTCTCTCTCTTTCTTTAATGTTTATTTATTTAGAGAGTGCCTGAGCAGGGGGGCAGGGCAGAGAGAGAGAGAGGGAGGGAGAATCCTAAGCAGGCTCTGCACTGTCTGCACAGAGCCTGACGTGGGACTTGATCTCACAAACTATGAGATTACCACCTGAGCTGAAATTGAGAGTCAGTCACTTACCCAGCTGAGCCACCCAGGCGCCCCAGATTCCTCATTCGTCACAGGAGAAAAGGAGAGTGTGGCTTGCCCTGGGCCACACAGCAGGAACCCGGCAGAGCCCCAGCCAGCACCTGTGCCCCCAACCCTTGCACCCTTTCTTTCTGCTCCTGGCTTTGGGATGTCAGCTGTGCTCACCGAGAGGTCCTTCTGCTCCGGACACCCTCCTGTGCTGTTCTCTCAAAAGGGGCAGGAAGTACATGGCATCTGGCCAACACTGGCCCTGTGATGGCTTTGTCTACAGGAATATCACTTGTAGGGCTCAAATCTGAGAAAATGGATTCAGATTTTTTTCTAATCCACCAAGAGACTATTTAATGGTGAAGTGGCCACCACTGAGATGGTAATATCCGAGGTGACTCCTGTGGAATTTAGCTGTGTCGCAGCATATCCTCGGAGCCTCTCTGTCCGCTCCCAAGGGATTGCAACAGAAACAACAGCAAGGCTCCTTCCAAGCCCTTATACACTTTGTTCCGTCCGCACGGCGCAAAGAGGCAGGTTCGGATGAGGGGACTCAGCCTCGGTCAATAGGGTGGATGGACAGCCTGCCCAGGTGGGAGAGTTAATGCTGGACTTGAACCCGGGCAGCATGACCTCCAGGTCCTGTCCTCCATATCTTACTCAACCGCCTCTTAACCTTGTCCTTGGATTTGCTGACAGGGCCTTCTGCCCCCTCCCTGTGGAATTTCTCAGGGGCCTTAGTTTCACACCAAATGTGCTGACTATTTACCAGGGAACAAGAGGAGGAAGGAGAGTAGACCTTCCTCCACAGGCTACCTTTTCTCAAACCACATGGGCTGTCGGGCTTTGTTTTCTTCAACAAGCGTAAACTGCTAACTGCCTCCTTTCCTGTTTGGGTCTTAGGGAAGCTTTTCTATTTGCTTGCTCATTAACACATATATGTGACTGCTAGGAACTTTTGAGGACCCGTAGTATTTCACTACTCCCCATGGTGTCTGGGAAATCTTGAGCGGTGGTGTTTTTGGCTCTGGCTGAATCGGACACAAGGTGGGTACACGGCTATGGGACCCTAGAGCAGAGAGCATCATCCGTGGTATCTCCTTCGCTCTGGTTTAGGCCAACAGAGATGCTAAGACCATTACTATCTGAGACGAGGCTCCTTCTGTATGTTACCGTCAGGAGGACTTTATTTTATCTCTTTGATTGAAAAAAAAAGAATAGAGGTCGCTTGCCGATTTTGTTGGTGTGAGTTTTGGCTAACGTGAACTGAACATTCCCTGTGTTCCAGACACTGTTAAATGCTGCTCGTGTATCATGTCTTTTAATATTTACAAGCACATCATTAGGTAGATACTGTTGTTATCGCCTTACCTCACAGGTGAGGAAATGAGGCACAGAGAGGGTGAGTTGCTTGGCAGATGTCACACAGCTGGTTAAGGGCACGACTGGATTTTGAAACCAGCTGGTCTGCTGTCACTATGCCTTTAGCACCAGAGGCTTGAGGCGTAACGTTTAGAGGGGAAGAACTCCAAAGAAACTGGTTCGTTGCTGTTCACTTGTAACTAACCTGAGAACAACTTCTGGCCCCCCGGGAAACCCCAGCCCCAGGCATGATCTGAAATAGCCCCTGCCTGCCCCCCTGTGCTGCTCATGCTGTTCAGGCTGTTCCTGGCCACACACATGCACACACACACACACACACACACACACACACACACACGTGCACACGTGATGGGGTAAAGATGTGACACACTCTTTTCCTTCCCAGTCACACATTTGGGGCTCTGGTGGGAGGGCCATCTCTCCACTTCAGAACCTTGAGCTCTGTGTGTGTGAATCCCCATGTCCACAGACTTGGACAAATATTTATTGCGTCCCTATTATAAATCAGTCATTCTCCTCAATGTTCAGTGAACAAAACACGACACAGTTATCACTCTCCTAGAGCTTGTATTCTGGTTTCATCCTTCACTCTGTTCTGTGTCAAGGAGGCAGCCAGACCAGCCAGATAAGATTTGAAAGGGGTATCCTCGTGGGGGGGGAGGGTACTTATGAGCTCCTGCTCTCTTTCCTACTTAGGCCAAGCCAAGAGATCAGGGGGCCTCTGACCCTTTTCTCAGAACGGAAATCCCTGTCCGTATTCTAGAGGTGTTAAAAATGATAGCTTTAAGACTGGCCACACTGCTATGAGAAAGCACCTTGTGGAGCACCTGGATGGCTCAGTTGGTTGAGCGACCGACTTTGGCTCAGGTCATGATCTCATGGTTTGTGAGTTCAAGCCCTGCGTCGGGCTCTCTGCTGACAGCTCATGGCCTGGAGCCCTGCTTCGGGTTCTGTGTCTCCCTCTCTCTCTGCCCCTCCCCCTCTCATGCTCGGTGTCTCTCTGTCTCAGAAATAAATAAACATTAAAAAAATTTTTTTTAATTAAATAATAAAAAAAAAGCACCTTGCATTTCTACAACATCTTACAAAACACTGTCTGTTAAGTTGTCTCATTTGACAAAACAACTTTGTTGCCTTATGCCCATCTTCCACCCCACCTCCCACGGAAAATGAGCTCTGAAAGTTGGTTGGTATAAAACCAGGTAGGACTACACCCCATTTCTTGCTTTCCCTGGAGCCCATGAACCTGGGGGCAGGGAGGTAGCTGTAAACGTGTTCTCTTTCTATCTAGAACGATGCTGTCAAGTAGCACTTTCGGCAGTGATAGAAATACTCTGTGTCTGCGTTGTTCAGTAATAGCCACTGGCCGCATGTGGCTGGTGAGCACTTCACATAGGGCTCGGATGGGTGAGGAATTGAATTTTATAAGTTCATTTTAAGCGGAGTTAAGATGTAAGCAGCCATATGTGGATACTATACTGGGTGGCACAGTTTTAGAGGCTCTAAAGGGGAAAGGACTCTGGAGTGGAAGATAGGAGAATGCAGCCTTCCTTTCCAGTCATGCGTGAGTGTCACAGCACCTGGACATTCCTCTCCATCCACTTCCCTGGAATTCAGAATCTTCGAGATCGTTGTCAAAAGGCAAGACTTGGGGTGGTTCTCTGAGCACCGCCCCCCGACCCTTCAGCAAAATCAGGCTACTTCTTGTGTGTCACAGCTTTAGTTTGACGATTTTCATTGGCTTAAAAAAATAAGACCATGCAAAAAGTGTTTAAAACCATTGCTGTCAAGGTAAACAGCAGTGAAACTCATTGGAGACAAGGCAGTGTGGTCTACCTAGAAAACAGCCTGGAAGCATAGGCAATGGAGGAAAGTTTTGAAAAATTAGCATAAACAATGGAACAGAATTTATGGGATATACCTGTATACCATGGGGGGGGTCACTTACACACTTATTTATATAAATTTAAGTTTAAAATTTTATGTTTGATTCAAAGCCAAGAAAGACACTACAAGGACACTGAATTCATTATATTCTGCCCCAGCTGGCTTTCCACTGTCCACCCAGGGTTCCAGGGACAATGATGTTGGTGACTGTTTCCTGTTAACCCATGAGTAGCA